ATATTTTTCGTTTAAATGATCGTGGTTGTGACTTTTAATGAGTTTGGAAATCTTCAAATTTATCTTTATGTATTCTCTAAATAAAAAAATGCATTATCTGCCGTTATTTTGATTTACCAAAAGCTTTTGTATAAAGTATAAAACATACATTCAATAATTGTTTTAAATATTATGATTTGATAATAGATACCTTGATATGAGTCCGAAGGTTTGAGTTGGCTTGAATGGAACCAGAAATCACAGCCTTTTCGTTATTGTACAAAATACAAAGAGCTCGAATATTATCATTTTCGATTTTCTTAATGGTAAAAAATGTTCCATCAAAAATTGGATGGTTGGTATTTTTTGAGAAAATTCATCAGCGTTCATTTTAGTAATTTTTTACTTATTAATAAATAAGGAAAAGTAAAATAATTAGGTATCAACTTTTAAGTCGTTATTAGTGACGGACTACAATGAGATGGTTACTAAAGCCTATACGTAGACACGAAGTGTACAATTTGTACATCGTATAGTACGATTGTTAATTTATACATAGAACAAGGACAATTAAGATAGTATAAATGTATAATATTATATCTTTCTATATTATCTGTATTTTGTAGTTCATCATAAAATTATCTTTTAGAATCGGTATCGAATGTTCGATAAAACTTATGCTGTACAACTTATATATATATATAATATATTGTACATTGTAGAAAATCCTAAATCCTAAATTTATATAATTGAAAAATTGTAATTCTTTATACCAATTACAAATTACATCAACATTTAATAATTAATTACCAATTACAAATTACATCAATATTTAATARTTAATTACTAATTACAAATTACTTAAGTAATTGAATTACTGTAATTGAAAAGTGCCCAACCCTGTATCCATATTTAAATATTTTAAAAATTAAAATTGAATATGTAATGCATAATTCAAGCATAAAATTGATGGTATAATTATGGGTATTCTTGCCTCTAAATTATATAATATTCGAATCCACTATATCTTAAATAACGACAAAACTAACAACACAAAATTAAGTCTTCTGAACAAAAATTTAGTATGGTGTATTGGTCCACGATTGTATGTTAGTAAGACTGAGACATTACATTTAGGTGTAGGGCCCACTTTACCCACTCGTGCATTTTAGTTGAGAAATTATAAGATTTATAAATTATAAACTTAATTAGAATTGTAAGCATTTTTCTTTAACGCAAAATCAGTTTTCAGAAAATCGATTTTGTTTTTTTATTGTAACTCAAAAACAAATAATTCTAGATACTTGAAATTTTCCCCTAATGTGTTATGTGTATATTGGMATTTTCTGCCTATACAAAATGTTTGTTTGGTTATAAAGTTTGAAAATTTAGTAGAAGGTTATTTTATAAAATTAATTATATAGGATTTACAAAACATAGAAAATACATTGTCAAAATATTTTTTATAAGCGTTTAACGTTTAACCATATTATTTCGACGAAAATGTCAATTTTTAAGGAAAAAATTAATTCAACTTTGTGTATTATTAATAGTCATAGCAATAATAGCAGTAATAGCAATAATATCATAAAATATACTTAGTAATAAAGCCTGACAGACCTTTTTCTCTCTGAACCATTTGTCATAATATTATACAATGATCTATCATTAAATTAAAACTTAACACATCCTCTACAGTAACCCTCTAAATCATCCCTTACTAATTATAGTAGTAGAGCTGTAACCCACTTGTCAACCTTTTTAATTATATATCTTAAAAAAATCACATCTTCATTTTGAGAACAACTATTTTTTTGTTTTTATAACTTTTATACAGAATTTTCCAACATTTTCATGGTTATCACTACACTCWAATACAGAATACAGAATAATAATCTTTAGCAGCGGTTCCCTAAGGGCACCTCGAGCTAATTTAAGGGGCGCCACAGCTCATCCGAGAATGAAAAAAATTATTAAATTATATATTAAAAATTTATTGTAGTTGAAAAGACAAAAAATTATTTTATGTACAAAGTTACTTAGAATACTATCTGTACCTATTATCCAATATTAAATACAATGTTTCTAATATGTGTGGAATAATTCAATAATAGATAAAAACATTGCCAAACTATTCAAAAATAAGCAGCCTCAAATATCTCATTAATTATTAGTTTTTCACTATTAAAACAGAATTTTTTTTTTTTATTTCAACAATAAAATTATAATTTATTAATAATATGTTCAATAAAATTATTTAAATCAGTTATGAATGAAAACTAGTGTTTATTTTTATCACGTTTCTCGTGATATTCACAGAAGGGCACCTAATACAATTTGTACAAACAATAGGGCACCGCTTGCTAAAAAGGTTGGGAACCGCTGATCTATAGTTATAATTTATCAGATGGTATATCTGATTTTTAATAAAAAAAAAGAGAGGATAATTTTAATTTATAAAAATATATTGTGACTGTTAGTCTAACAGKTTGCGCATAGTAATGTAATGCACCTGTCAGACATTTTGTTATTGGTTTTWATATGTAGTTAAGAAGATAATCATTATACATCTTATTTAAGTAGTATTTAAAGTTAGTGTTAATTAAATAATTTTGTGAAAGGTAAAAGTATTATTTTGAAAATGTAATTTTTTATCTCTTCCTTAAATTTATAATTATAAAATTATTGAATTTAAGTGAATGGTATGTTATTTTGTTTTTAAAGTAAAGTTTGATGTATTTGTTTAATTTTTAGGTGTGAAGCTAAAGAATCAGGTTTAGTAGCTGTGATTGATATGCGAGGTGGTTCTGGCTGGTCATCTGTCAAACCAATCTTGAAAGCCCTCCAAGATTGGTGTGCTGGAGGCAATGGAAACCATGTGTATGCTGTATATGTTGTAAAACCTGATAATTTTTGGCATAAACAACGAACCAGCATGGCTAGTCATAAATATAAATTTGAAGTAATTACTTTATACATTTTAACATTATCTATTTAAAATAATATAATGCTATTTATGGAATTTTTTAGACAACAATGGTTAACTTAGAAGGCCTATCAAAGTTTATAGATTCTACACAATTGACGTCAGATCTCGATGGATCTCTACACTATGATCATGCCCAATGGATTGATATTCGACTTGTGAGTTTAATTAATTTTACAATCTTCTGTTTTATTTATTATTATTTTCTATTATTATTTAGAGTATTGAAGAATTTATGTGGCAAGCTGCTGATTTGTTAGATCGTTTAGATGATTTACAAGAAGACTTGAGTCGTAATGATTGTAGAGATGATATTGCTGGTGCCAAACTCGCCCTTGACTTTCATACCGACATGAAAAAGAAAGTTCTTAAAACCCCTGTTGAGGACATGGATTTAGCTGGTCAACAACTTTTGCAGAGGTAATCTCACTAGACAAGCAAAATTATTCAAATATATTAATTAATTATTATTCATTTATGGTTAGATTATCTGGAGACAATAATAGTGGTTATGATTCTGGGTATTCTGGACGTGATAGTGAAGCTAGCAATGGTATTAGTAATCCAGATTTACAAGCATCTGTACCACTAATACTTCAACAATTGGATACCATTAGAACGTCTCATAAACATGTATTACAACTATGGCAGCATAAAAAACTTAAATTAGATCAATGTTTCCAATTGAGACTGTTTGAACAAGATTGTGAAAAGGTATTATTTCATGAATATATTATGTGTGTTTTTTTTTATATTTATATGGATTATGGATTTTATTATATTATGTTGTTACATGTTTATATAATTAATATTCATTACATAATATTAATATTTTATAATGCAATATAATCATTTTATTAGATGTTTGATTGGATTTGCCATAATCGGGATGTATTTTTAATGAGTTATGTTGAGATTGGACATTCCTATCAACTTGCCAAAGATATACAAGAAGAGCACAATCATTTTACTATGAGTTCTATGGTATAATTTTTAATGTTAAGTAAATTAAAAATATTTTTTAACATATTTAATGTTTATAGAATGTGTATGTAAACATAAATCGTATCGTAGCTGTTGCACATCGCATGATAGAATCTGGACATTATGCTTCTAATCATATAAGAACAGTTGCTCAACGATTAGATAGAACATGGAAACAGTTTGCAGCTGGATTAGACGAACGGACATCAGTGTTAGCATTATCTGTTTTATTTCATCATAAAGCTCAACAGGTATAAATTTCTAGTTTAAAAACCACCTCAATATTTATTTAAATGAGTTTATAATATTTACTTTAGTATGTGGAAAATGTACCAAACTGGGATGAGGCTATAGAAAATGTCACCATACCAAATGAAATTATGGTTTTAGAAAATACAATTCACCAACATCAAAACTTGTACGAACTCATGTGCCAAGCATATACTGAGGTAAATTAATTTTTATAGTTTTTCCCTTACAAAACTTAATTTTTTGAGACAAATATAGGTTTATAATGGCTATCAAAGCTTATTAAACGGACTGGATACTTTGGTACAAGTCTGTGAAAGTTTTCCAACTCCTCCAAGCAATGTACCATTTATACATTATGGAAATTCTCCACAAAAAAGTGTATGTTCCATTATTGTAAAATTTAAGGATTCTTTGATAACACAGAATTCCTAAAAAAAATACTAAAGCCTTGGTTAGAATTCGGTGGCTACTCATGCATTGGCTATGGTTTATTCCTTGTATTACAAAACTTTGGTTTATGGGCATTTAAAATAATTAACCATCATTGAAAGTAAATWTTTTTATATTTTTTTTAAATGCATGATGGGATTTTTTGGTTTGGGTTAGGTTCATAGCACCAGTAAGAAGCTGCTCTATCAGTTGGACCATTTGGTTCAGGTGTGTAACCAAAGTGACTTGACACCAGTCGCTGAACAACATCATAAACATGTAAGCTTTTTTTAACACGCATGAAATTGGCTTTTAGCTTTTACTAGTTTTATTTCTAACCTAATCATAACATATAAGCATAATTTCTTATTTACCTATAGTTGGATAGTGGATCAGATTCTTCAGCCAACACAAATAAAACAGTTGGAACAAATCATCAACAAGCTGCAGCTGATTATTCAGAAGGTGCCAGTCATGTGCTTGCTGTCATACACCAAATCTTAAACCATCATAGGAGTTTAGAACATCGATGGCACTCTAAGAAGATTAGACTTCATCAGAAATTAGCATTACGATTATTTCAAGAAGATGTCAAACAAGTATTGATATATCAAAATCATTTTTATTTAGAGATATACCTATTTATTTTATTTATTTTTAGGTTCTTGATTGGTTGTCCAACCATGGAGAAGTGTTTCTAAGAAAAAATACTGGAATTGGACGTACATTACAAAAAGCCAGAGTATACCAAAAAAGTCATGAACATTTCGAAAATGTGGCCCAGGTAATTTATAAAGTTATTACTTATTCATTTCATTTCATTTACTAAGTCGAGTTTCTATATTCGATAGGTAGTATATAGTAGTGGTCTGTAAGAAATTTTTTTTAGCAAATATAATTATTTGTATTGATAATGAAGAGAGAAATACAATATTATGTTRTATAGCCACCTAAAATAGTGAACTATTTTATCAGTAGATACAAATGAGTGATATTCAATAGTATACTGTAATTTCATAATATTTTTGCAAATTATTTACTTTTAAATATTTTTTACATTATTTATCAGTCAGACATTGCAATGTGATGATTTCAAGGAGTTTTATATAGGCAATACTGTCAACTATTACTAAGGMATATAAAAAAATGATAATTAATATTAAAAAATTATCAATCCCGTTTTGTATAAATGCAGTATTTCATTAAGTATTTTTCTTGTAGAAAAATTTAGCTACAAATTGTCTGATCAGATGTGGTACTGATATGTTTGTGCAGTACAGTTTGAACATATTAATTTTACGTTAATAATCATTGAAATTGCCTATTTTTGATCTTTTCATTATGACTAGCATATTATAGAATTATTTATTTTCCGAAAATTTTTTATTAAAGCATTGTGTTTATTTTTCGTTTGGTGGAAGTCGATTAGTGTGAGGTAATATTAAACTTAAAATGCATATAATT